GCAGACCTCTCCTGCCTCACCTGCTGCTCCCCTCAGCAGTGTATTTCGGTAGATCTGCCTGTTCTGCTCGCCACTCTTGTTGTTGGTGAAGCCCCTCATCCCCCCTCCCCTCTGCCTCTGGCCTGTACCCTAATTCTTGTATGCATAACTGAATAAATCTTTGAGAAATTAAATACCTCTTCTTAGTTATATAATTAAATTAATGAAGGTGCATTTTACAGTGAGTGATTCAAGTTTTATTTTTTTCTCATCTGTAACATGATTTCTTAGCTTTGAAGTCATAACTGTATCATGCAATTCTAAAAAGTTGTGGATGGGTTGTTTTATTATTTGGTGAAAAAAATCACACACAAGGGTGTTCACCAGCTACTTTGTAGAAGGGATCACAAAACATGACTGAAATGGTACTTTTCCCCATTTTCAAGACTGGCTCATGTGTTCCGACATTTTCAAAAAATCTGAAAGTAGAGCAACAAATGTATAATGGTACTTTCTCACAACATTATTCATGTCTATAAAATTGAAAAAGCATGCATTTAATATGCCCCAGGTTGTTGCAATAAACGAAGGTTTCTGTGGCCTTTCAAAGAGTGTTTCAGAAGACACCACACAGTAATTGCAGCGCTGAAATGACCACAAATATCTACGTTTGCATCTCTCTCTTTAACACCTGGAAATCGCTAACGTTTGGGCAGAGTACTTAACTGCACCTTCACAGCAAACCTGTAGACTCGGAACTTTGTTCCTGAAGCTCTTGGTTCCGGGGGGTGGCGGTGCCGTAGACTAGCCTGTGAGCTTGCGCACTAGCGCCGACTCTCGGGACTGGCAGGCGCGCTGACCGGCCCCGCCTTTCTTCGCCTGACAACGGGAAGCCAACGGGACTCGGGGCGCGTGCGCAGTGTGTCCGGGTGCCGGGGCGGTGGGTTACGCTTGGAGAGCGCATGGGCAGACAAACTGTACGTCCGTTTGTCCGGAGCCGAGGGGAGAGTGGGCGCCATCTTCTAGGCTCACTGAGCGCTTTGCCTGTTCTGCGGCGGCTGACGCTACGGAGTGTCCCCCGCCCCCGGCCTTGTGTGTCCGACTCGGCAGCAGTGGTGTGTGCTTATTGCCAAGTGCGGAGCAGTTACCCTTGGGGCGTCGGGGCTGGGGAGTGGTTGGCGCTGGGAACGCAAGAACGGGCAAAGGCGGGGCCGGCGGCCGCGCCAGGAGTTAGCGCAGATTCTGCCGTTAGGGCACCCCCTTGCCTTGCTAAACACCTACTCGCCCGTCTGTCTCCATGTGGTGGTGTGTGTGCGCTGCCCAGTCTTCTTGACAGTGGAGCGTTCCAAGGATTTCATAGGTATCTATTTTTTTCCTTTGCTATGTCATCGTAGTCAGGTTTGGTAGAAAAGCACTGCAGGCCGGGCTCGGTAGATTTGCGAAGGGCCAAAGCGCTTCAGTGAGGTTTGGGAGCGCTTCACCCACGGCGAGGTTGGGTGGAATGTTTGCCCTTGGGACGGCGTAACGGAAAGGCGCGGAGGTTGGGCGGTCCAGGTTAATTTGAAGGCTGCGTTGACTGAAGGTCCGGAGACGGCATCGGATCCCACGTAGCAACTTTGGCCTGGCGCGAAAGAAGGAAGCTCTGATCCCTGGGAGTATGGACAAAAGCCGTGGGCAGTAGAAACGAATCTTCGGATGCTCCCCGTTTGAGGATGATGGATGTTATGGGAAACCCGTTGCCTTGTGGATTCGTCTTCCATCTGCAGTTCCTCTTGGGGACTATGGCTCTCTGTCGACAAGCCTTTGGTTTTTCTTTTAATAATCTACATTATAAAGAGTCAAAAGGCAGCTCGTCATAAGAGATAATTGTGGACTGGGGTAGATTATTTTCTGCGGGGGACACAAATGCGTTTAGACTCTTATCATAACTTGAGTTTTAGGACGCAGTCGTATTTTTCTCTCCACTAATTCTGGAAATGACTTGTTATTCTCTAGTTAAAATCAAACAGATCTGAGATGATACCTATTTAAATTCAGCGGTCTTCCCGTTTTCTGCTTTTACGTAATCTTTACTGATAATGATCAAGTGGGATGAATGGTCGGATTAAATCAAAACTACTTAGTGAGTTTATTAATAAGTACCTGTCCTTAAATAAGCCTGTAAGGACCTACTTCCTTTTCCCCATAGGTTTAAAGACCTAACAGACACAGTCACAAAAATAATTTGCATTCCTAAGTAGGAATATTTTTAGTTCAGACTACTTTAGGGTATTTTGTGTGTTGTTCTAGAATGGATTTTCTGGGGGAATTTGCTTAAGGAAAGAACGGACCCATAGGAAAGGCAATCAGTTTGAGAGCTGGTCTTTTCTGTAGATGGTTTCAAGGTGTGTTGTGGAAGGATAAATGGTATATTATGGTACTTTGTTAAGGGCAAAGACAATTTAAACATTAGTTACATTTAACTGTCACAAATAGGACTTTTTTTTTTTAAGATTTATTTATTTATTCATACAGAACTGGGGTATAGGCCAGAGATGCTAGTTACATTTAACTGTCACAAATAGGACTTTTTTTTTTTTTAAGATTGATTTATTTATTCATACAGAACTGGGGTACAGGCCAGAGATGCGGAGGGTGAGAGGATACACCAGAGACAGAGTGGGGAGCAGAACACGCAGATCGATGACGAAGTACACTGCTGAAGGGAGCAGCGGGCGGGTCAGGAGAGGTCTGCCACGCCATGTGGTCACCTCTGGGGCAGGCAGGAATCGAACTCATGTGGAAGAAGAATAAGAATCTAAATGCTGTGCTTTAACCTGCTGTGCCTCCAGGGAGGGCCAGGACTTTTTTTTATAGTAGTCTCCTTGAATTGGAATTCATGAGATGTGTACTCTTGTACTCCTGAGATTTGTACTCTTAATTAAAACATTATTTTAAAATGTGGTGGTTAAGGAGGATAACTTAATAGAAATTTTTAAATTTGACATATATTCATTCCTTGAAACAGTTTCTAACTTTTCTTGTAGATACATTATGTTCATAGGACATATTTCTGCTACATTTATAAACAAGATGTTTAGTAGTGGCAAATGATGGGTATCTTATACTACTTTCTAAATATTTTAAAAGCCAAAAAAGGGCAAAGCAGTTTGCATAGGTTAAGAGTCCTGAAATTTAAATGTGAATAATTATTTCAGAAGCCATTAATAGGTTTTGTTACAATGTAGCTGGGGATATTGGTTTGTTGCAGGAACTAAGCTTATACTCGGATTTTATTTTTTGGTATTTTTTTTTTGCATTTTTAATTTTATTTTATAATAGTTTTATTTTTATATCATTTTGTGCCTTTCCGGTCTCAGTTGTAATCCCCATGGACGTGCCATCACCATAGTTCAGTGCTCTTACCATGCTCTACCCCCCACCCATTAGTATTAGTTTTTTTTAATAATTTTTTTTTAGAATTTCTTTTTATGTTCAGAACAATATGAGCAAAAGGTATAGAAACTTCCCTTATACCTCACCTTCCATACATGTATCCTAAAAGTATTTTAGTAGTAACCTAATTAGTATGTTTGTTATCAATATCACATTAATAATAATGCACATGTAGAATATGCCAAATAATTTATAGATATATGCTAATTTAGCTTACATTTTAAAAAATATAGTTTATGAGCCTTTTTCCAAGGAAATGAAACCTTGCTGACCTAAAAATATTATGTGGAGAAGTGTTGTGTGTAAGTTCTGAGTTGAAATATTCATGTGCACATGGAGAATGTAAAAATTATAATTTTTTGCAGATTTTAAACAATTACATAGTAACACTACATTAAATATTGTTATCTTGGATATCTAAAAGTGTTAGATGTAAGTTTGTTAAATATTAAGTTGAGCTTTTTCTATAGTTAACACAGTAATCCCCAGATATTCCAATTTAATATATTTTTACTTTTCTACATTTTCACTGTGTTTCCTCAGCAGAATGTAGACAGTTGTTTGAGTGACATTAAATTTTATATTTATCTCAACTTTTTTTGGTTTGGCTTGAGGTAGTTCATTAGTAACTTAAAGTTGTTTGATAAAGAGTAGTAGTAGCTGAGATTTTTGAGTATAGGGCTATTTTAGTATATGCCTTACTTATAATGGAGCCAGCAAATTTGGTTTGTTTGGAAGTGTGAGGTGTATGTGTAGAACATAAAGCTATATACAGATAGTAGCCATGGGTTTGGATTTATTGCTTTAAAAATTGGTTTTTGAATTTAAAGCTTTAGTGTTTTGCTTAATTGTATCAGTTGAATGGTTGCCTTAATTTGATTTGATCTTGTGTTTGAAAAGGAAAATGGCAAGTGAACTACTGATAGATGTTAGGTTTTTTCAGTGGTGGAGGTGATAGGATTTGGCAGTTTTGGTGCTCTCAGGTTTTGAGTTTACTTTTTTTAAGTGGATATAATATTTGTACAAAGTGGAATACATAGAATTTCAGGACAGAACTCATCTTGATAAAATTTGTACATCCATGTAACATCTACTCCAGTCAAAATACTTAACATTTCCTTCATCCCTCCGCACATACCAATTCCAATCAAGGAATTTACAGTTTTAGGTAGGTTTTTTTCTCTTTTTTTTAAAAAAAAATTGCAGATGTCTGCTTGGAATATGTACCTCTTCCGTGCTGAAGATTAATTTCCCTTGGAACAAAGACCATTTGTAATGCCCATAGTTGGGATTTTTTGTACTGCTTCACTTTTTATAAGTAATTCTGAGGCGAGTATCATAATCTGGCGTTGTTTAAGATTAATTACAGATCCAAGGATTAATTATATTTCATTTTCTTTCCACAGTTAAGTTGCTTTTACAGAATTAACAGGTCTCCAAGAAATAAAAAAATAAAAAGGTAAGGTTTTTCACAGAGACTTGGAAAAAAAAGTAAATTAGTATAGTACATCTAGGTACACATGGATTCTGTACCCTATGTCTGGTCAGTGATGCATTAGTGGGAGGCAATTTATTATGAGCAGAAATTGTATACTGACCGTAGATGGCTTTTCTAAATTTGTAAAATTTATTGTGGTTGGTAAAATACTTTAATACACAAAGTAAGTTTCAATAGAAGATATGTTTCTAAGTGAGTCTGAAAATAGTTTGGTCTTGTTGTGAAGGAGCACTTGGCAGACTTAAAGATTTACTATTTTCGATACTCATACTGTATGGAATAGGTGATATGAAATGTTTCGTCAAGGTAGTTGGTTTATTTGTATGTTTAGATGGGAGTTTTTTAAAAAGAATTTTGAAAAATGTGAACTTATCTTGCTTTCATTTATAAAAGCTGAAGGTAGGAATCAAGTAATTTTAGCTAAATTTGGGATAAGGTACTTCAAAAATAAGACTTGCTATTATGTGTACCTTTTTGTCTACAGGTCATTATTGCTGTGGTTTGAGCTCAGCATGGCTGTAGTCATCCGTTTACTGGGGCTTCCTTTTATTGCGGGGCCTGTGGATATTCGCCACTTCTTCACGGGATTGACTATTCCTGATGGAGGAGTGCATATAATTGGAGGGGAAAAAGGGGAGGCTTTTATTATTTTTGCAACAGATGAAGATGCAAGACGTGCCATAAGTCGTTCAGGAAGGTTTATCAAGGATTCATCTGTAGAACTTTTTCTTAGTAGTAAGGCAGAAATGCAGAAGACTATAGAAATGAAAAGAACTGATCGCATAGGAAGAAAGAGACCAGGATCTGGGGCATCAAGGGCTGGCAGCTTATCTAATTTTGTTGAAGATATTAAGAAAGAAACAAGTAATTCTGGATATGACTCTTCAGTTAATCAAGATGATGGGTTTCATACCAATGGTACAGGACATGGTGATTTAAGGCCAAGAAAGACACGGCCATTGAAGGCTGAGAATCCTTATTTGTTTCTACGAGGTTTGCCTTACTTAGTGAATGAAGATGATGTACGTGTCTTTTTCTCTGGTTTGTGTGTGGATGGAGTAATTTTCTTAAAACATCACGATGGCCGAAATAATGGTGATGCCATAGTAAAATTTGCTTCTTGTGTTGATGCTTCAGGTGGTCTTAAATGTCATAGAAGTTTTATGGGTTCAAGATTTATAGAAGTAATGCAAGGCTCAGAACAACAGTGGATTGAGTTTGGTGGTAATGCAATTAAGGAGGGTGACATGCCTTTGAGAACTGAAGAACATTCTCCACCAAGAGGAGTTAATGATAGGCATTTTGGGAAACGATCTCGTTCAAAATCTCCCAGAAGAACACGTTCTCGTTCTCCTTTTGGATTTTATGTTCATTTAAAAAATTTGTCCCTGGGTATTAACAAAAGAGATTTAAAAAATTTCTTTAGAGATACTGATCTGTCCAGTGAACAGATTAAGTTTTTGTATAAAGATGAAAGAAGAACAAGATATGCCTTTGTGATGTTCAAGACTCAGAAAGACTATAACACTGCTCTGGGTTTACATAAGACTGTTTTACAGTATCGTCCAGTTCATATCGATCCAGTTTCTAGAAAACAAGTGCTGAAGCTCATTGCATGTTACGAAAAGAAAAGACCACCTTCAATAGGGAAAGAGAGGCTTGGACATGTTTCTGAGAAATACTGTCAAGAAGGCCACTCTGGCCAGAAGCTGTGCATATATATAAGAAATTTCCCATTTGATGTTACAAAAATTGAAGTACAGAAGTTCTTTGCAGATTTTTCTCTTGCTGAAGATGACATTTACCTGCTTTATGATGACAAAGGAGTTGGTCTTGGAGAAGCACTGGTGAAATTCAGAACAGAAGAACAGGCCATGAAAGCTGAACGGTTAAATCGCCGAAGATTCTTGGGGACAGAGGTATTATTGAGACTTATATCTGAAGCACAAATGCAGGAGTTTGGTGTAAATTTTCCTTTGATGTCCAGTGAAAGGATGCAAGGTCATTCACAGTCTTGTGATAGAGAGGACCATTTTCATTCATTTGACTCAAATGATCCACCAATATACTCAGTTGGGCCTTCTGAAAACGTGAGGCGTCAGCAAGAGGACTTGAGACACATGGATAATTTCAAGCATCCCCATCCTGATAGGCGTGCTCCGGAAGACTTTAGACATTCCCCAGAGGATTTCAGGTGCCCCTGGGAGGAGGACTTCAGGCGCCCTTGGGAGGAGGACTTCAGGCGTTCCCGGGAGGAGGACTTCAGGCGCCCTCGGGAGGACGACTTCAGGCGCCCTCGGGAGGACGACTTCAGGCATTCTTGGGAAGAGGACTTTAGGTACTCACCGGAGGAGGACTTCAGGCACTCACCGGAGGAGGACTTCAGACACCCTCGGGAGGAAGGTTGGAGGCGACCACCTGAGGAGGATTTTCGGCGGCCTTCCAAAGAGGACTTTAGGCGACCCATGGAGGACTGGAGGCGACCTGCCGAGGGAGACTTTAGGCGGCTACCTGAGGAAGACTGGAGGCGGCCATTTGAGGAGGATTTCAGGCGTCATCCACAGGGGGAATGGAGGAGACAACCTGAGGAAGACTATAGGCGGCAGCCTGAGGAAGACTTCAGGCGTTCCCCGGAAGAAGACTTCAGGCGGCCACCCCAGGAACATTTCAGGCGTCCACCTCCAGAACACTTCAGGAGGCCGCCTCAGGAGCACTTTCGGCGACCCCCCCAAGAGCACTTCCGGCGGCCAGGTCCGGAGCATTTTCGGCGACCACCTCAGGAACATTTCAGACGGCCACCACAGGAACATTTCAGGCGACCCCGAGAGGAAGATTTCAGGCACCCACCAGATGAAGATTTTAGGGGTCCCCGTGATGAAGATTTTAGGCACCCACCTGATGAGGACTTCAGGAGCCACCAGGAGGAAGATTTTAGATGCCATTCTGATGAGGACTTAAGGAGGATCCCTGAGGAAGATCTCAGGGAAACTTCAGAGGAAGACCCTAGACTTCCTGACAACCTTAGACCCCCTGGGGAAGAGTTTCGGAGTCCACCTGATAATTTTAGAAGTCATCGTCCTGTTGTGAATTTTGGTCACCCAGAAGGTGGCAAGTTTGATTTTGGAAAGCGTAATATGGGAAGTTTTCCTGAAGGGAGATTTATGCCTGATCCAAAATTAAATAGTTCAAGTAGAGTAACTCCTATTAAGATAATGAATCTTCCATTTAAAGCTAATGTTAATGAAATTCTAGACTTTTTCCATGGTTATAGAATCATTCCTGATTCTATTTCAATACAGTATAATGAGCAAGGTTTACCGACAGGGGAAGCCATTGTTGCTATGATAAACTACAATGAAGCTATGGCTGCTATTAAAGATCTAAATGATAGGCCAGTTGGTCCTCGCAAAGTTAAGTTAATTTTGCTCTAGAGAGTATTTCTAAGTTCAGAATTAACTTCCTCACAGTATTGATTCAGTAAAATGCATTTATGTTCTTAAAAGGTGTTTTTTTTTTAAATTAATGAAGAAACCATTTTATTTTGATCTGTGAGTAGAACAAATGTAAATAGTAGAATGTGAATCTGGTTTTCTTTTGCCTGCAAATTGCCATTCATTTTTTCTAATTTAAAATCATATATATATTTTTTCCTAGGGGAGAGAATTCCCTGGGTTCATAAATTTTTGTTGATTCCTCAAGACTTGTGTAAAGTAAACTGTATTTGGGGAGCATAAATTTTATATTTGCTTTTGTTTCCATTCTGTAGTTTACATTTTTTATTCAAACTGTATTAGGAAATGGTCAGTGACTATTGTTCAGGTTTAGCATTTTATTGCTATTGCCTGCAAATTAATGCCCTCTTCCTTGTCTTGAAATATTACTATGTTAAACCTCCTGTTAACTATATAATACAAAATGGACGGACTGTGAACTTAAAGTTTACGTATGTAAAAAGCTGAGGAGATTCTTAAAGTTTCCATGTTCTTAACTTGCAGAGTTTTATAAAAATAAAAAAGATTACAACTGAATAGACCAACTAAGTAACTGTACTTGTATTTATAAAAAACAAAAAGGAATTGCAGCTTCTTTTATAATGATTTTCAACAACTATAAACAATATTTACGATTGATGGGACCAAATATCCTATAGTACATTATTAGTAGAGTGCTGTATATACTTCCATGGTTTCTTCAACATCTCATCAACCAAATTTGTAAGATTAACTTAAATACTTAAGTAAAAAAATAAGGATGCAATTATAGGTTTAAGGACACTTAACAGGCTTGTGCTGGGAAGAATGTGACAGATGGATATAGTTATATAGTTAGGAATAATTCACTGATAATTCATATAACTTAAAAACAATTAGGCTCTCATTGTTTACTTTCTGAAACTGTATCCAGTTAGTTTTTTTTTTTACCCAATAACTTAAATATAATTCTTTTGTTGTTGAATTTTGACTTCTTTGCATCAACATTTAATGTAGACATTTTGTAAATACTGGATTTAATTTTCTGTATCCCTAATACGGTTAACATTTACTGGGCGCTTACTACATGCCAATACAGTTATAAGCACTTTACATGCATATTCTCAATCTTAATATTCCCCCCAAAGCATTATTTACCTCTATTTCACAACAAGATAATAATGTTTAGATCGGTTAAGTAATTTGCATAAAGTTATTTAGTAAATTGTGGAGCCAATTTCAACCCAGACAGACCATTGACATCCTTTTATGCTCCTAATTTTGTTAGTGTTATTAAGACAATGCTAAAAATATTTTTTAAGAATAAAATATACCTTCTTACTTCCACTATTTTAAAAGTAGCATTAAAAAAAGTAAATTTACTATGCTCTAGCATTATTAGTAAAAGACAAAGTAAGTTTTAAAGTTTTTATATATTCAGGTTTCTCTTCTATACTAACGTGTGTGTGTATATTTGTATACAAATTTACACACACACACTTCTAATTGAAAATTGTTTATTAAACATGATTTGACTTTGATATTTTATAGTTTACTTAAAAGTTAATTTTCCTCAATGCTGTTATCCAGAAATTTCCCAAATTGAGCAAATAGGAATAAAATTTGAATTCATATTTGATAATAGGATTTTGCAGAAGTAGGATACTCTGTCAGTCAATTAGCACTATAAATACTTTGGACTGTTTTTCAGTGATTTAAGGAAGCCTACGAGAAGTCAACCAAAATTTGTTTTTATAACATATATCACTTCATAGTATGAGTAAACTGGTAAGTTTGGTTCAAAAAGCTACTTCAGTATGGTTCTTTAAACTAGGAAGCTTACAAATAACTAGGAAAATGAATCATAACCAAACCAACAATATGAATCAGTAGGAATAAATACTCTAAATGCTTAATGATTATATAGATGGTTCATTTGATCAGCCCTTTGAAGGATATATAGAAGACTTAGAGGAGTTTTTTTCAAGTGTCATGCTGATAGGAAGTTTACAGTGAAGTAGCACTATGTGGAAATGTTGCTCAAACTAGGCTAGTGTGGGATGATGGTAGATAAAACACTGACTTTTTATTTTGGTAAAACACTCACTTTTTATTTTGGCTATAAAATTAATGGCTTGATCCTTTCAAACTTGTAAACTAGCTTCTTACAGGGTTCTGTTGATTGGGAGACTTTTTTTCACATCTTCCAACTATGCCTTCAGTATAATATTGATCACTAAAAGTGGCCACAGTAGGAGTATTTACACCATGTAAATTTGCAGCTCAGTTTATTGAGGGCATTTTCCACCCTAGAAAACCAGTTTGCCAGTACACTGTCAATTTCAAATAACATAAGAGAACATTGTATTAGATGCTTACACACCCAGGTTAGTAATTATCATTTCATATCCAGTTTGTTTGCCTATCAGGTATACCATGGGTATAATTGGGTATCTAGTTTAATACTCATGGTATTTTAATTATGGTAGAGACAAATTTTTATCTGGAAGGTACCTGAAAAGCATAGATCAAGCTTAAAAAAATCTATAACCAAGGGAGAATGATTGTATTAGGAATGCTCTTCTATCACTGAGAAGGTATTTAAAACTGTCTTTTCCATCTATGCCTATAGTCAACCATCTTTGTATTAAATGTAAGCAATCACTGAGCTGCATTAGATAGTATATATTTGTGGTCTGTATTAATATATGAATTGACTAATTTTTTTCTCAATAACCCTGAATATTTTAGAGATTAGAAATGGAGACCAATATGTTAATAACTGGTCAGGTTGTTTGCTTTTTCTTTTTACAAGGAAGCTGGACGTTTTCACATTTTAAAATGTGTTTACATCTTAAATGATTATGTAAGTACCAATGTATTAGCCTTGATATTTTTTTCCTCTTGACTCATACCGTGAAAAAATAGTCATCTAGCTTTTTCAGAAAAGTTTGCCAGCCTACATCTGATCTATGAAGAAACTTAAGTTTACATTGTTATAAGTATTATGGTTAGTAATTTTTTTGACTTTAGAATATTTCTGAGGTTGGCAGAGCACACATTTTGTGTCAGAATTATTTGCTGTTTGCTTTACACCTCAGGCACTGTTTTAACTTTATAAGATAAGGCAATTGGTGCTTAAAAGGAGTGAATTGCTATAAGTAGCAAGAAAAATACTGTAACATTTTTCCTGCCTAACAACAATAACATCAAATTTAAATATTGAACAGATAAAAAAATGCAGTATCAGTTTTTTTAAGAGTATCCATATTTAGGGTTTTAAAAGTGTTTTGAGTATTAAAAGTACTGAAATAATTTTATCATGTCTTTTCTCAGGAAGGAGTGCTTTATTATGAACAGAATGATGAATGAGTCAAAACTTTCTAGAAAGTCTTTATTTTTCTGGTATAATTGCTTTTTGTGGTGATCCCAAAAATTTTTATAAATTTCATTATTTTTATATATTTGACTGGAACCCATAAAGTAACAGAAGTATAATTCCCCATCCAAAGAAATAAAAGTATCAGATATAATAAAATCAGATATAATGATTGAATTTTTTTTTATATTTTCAGGAATAAAAATGACTATGCTCTTAACAGAATGGCAGTTAAAAGTTTTAGTGAATTTGTAATGATTTGTGGTTTTCCATTTCCATGTTTTCTTAATATTCCACCAAATTACAACTTTTTAAGAATTGTAGAACCATTTATAATGTTTACTATGATAGCAGTTTAAAACCATAATCAGGCAGAATGTGGCTTGCTTTCTGAAGATAAAAGTTACATTCTTTGTATATTTATGAAACTGATATCCTAGCATCCCATTACCATAAAGATTGATTATTATGCTTTTGTTGCAAAGTAAATTTATGTATACTAATAGTGAAATGTTAGCATTTTGTAAAAGTGGGAAAATTAAAAGAAAAAAACTTGTTTTGCTTAAAGCTTTTACAGAATTAAAATTGTATTTATTTAAAAGGACTATTTAGAATCCTTTTCTGGTGATAAAAGCAGGGTATTTTAACTTAAAAGAAGCAAGTGGAATTATAAGAGTTTGCGGTTATTTGTCACCTGTTCAAGTAGGTATAGTACATTATTATGAAATACTTTTGAAATACATAATTAAAAAGGCGGAATAGTACAAAAACATACTACAAGGTAGGATATTGAAATGAATGACTAGAATGGTTGTTGAGTAATTAAACTTTCATTTTTTGGTCAGCATGAATTTCCTTTAATTTTCCATTTTCAGTAGAAACTTAATGTATCAAGTCTGTATAAAGTTTTAACAATTTAGTAATCCTGGATTCCAAACATTCAAGATGAAAATGGAAATTCAAGTTTACGTTAAGAAAATCAGGCTTCTTCTTCTGTAACGTCTAAGTCATCTTCATCCTCTTCTTCATCTTCTGCTTGTTGATCCTTTCTTAGTCGACAAGTGGATGCCTATTAAAAGTTAACACATTAAAAAAATACTTGAAAATATTTTTATAGGCTTTGTATCTACTTGTATGCTATTATAGGAAAAAAGAGACTATTACAGAAAAGTGTCCATATGTAAGAATTTTTAGTAATGTAAAAATTCCTTAAGAATTATTGTATTTAATGTTGAAAAATCAAAGTTTTTCACTCATCATGTTATTTTTTGAATAAAAATTTGAAATGAACCATTTGATTTCATTTGGATATCAATACCAATATTTCAATCACATAAAAGACTTTCAGTGCAAAGTATTAGTGTGAAAAATTGCTGAACTTAACTCACAAAAACAATCATCAAAGCAATGGCAAAACAATCACATAAAAGACTTTCAGTGCAAAGTATTAGTGTGAAAAATTGCTGAAGTTAATAACTCACAAAAACAATCATCAAAGCAATGGCAAAAATAAAAGAATACTTCAACTTGTGCAGCTGAAATACTAAAAAAATAGTGTGATTTAAATAGAATGAGTTAAGAAACTTAGACTTTAGGTGTGATATTACCATTTGGCTCATCTTGTCTCCATGCTTTTTTGAGGGTGAATTATAACTGCAGGGGACATTTGACAATGTCTGAAGACAGTTTGATAATCACAAATGGGCATGTGTGCTATTGACATCTTTTGGGCAGAGGCTAGACATTTGCACAACATCTATACAATGCACAAGACAGAACAATGCTTAAGAAAGAACAATGCTTACTCTTCCTTTGACAAGCTATTTGGCTCAAAGTCCACAGTGCTAAGGTTCAGGAACCCTGGGATATTGTATGAAGTGTTAGCTTAGGGAAATAGAAGGGAAACAATTTCAAAGGAGCAGCTCGTTTCTTTCATGTATGTCTTCTAGCTCACCTGTCCTGTTCCAGACAGACACTTAGCTGACAGTGATCTCTGAAGAGGTGACTTCGAATTTGCTCTTACAATATCTAAACGAGATGAATAATCTGGTGGGTACAGAGAATTTCGGAATACCTGTTGCAAGGATAAGATATCTTAAACAGCTGAAAAGTAGAAAGTTGTGTTCAGTTCATCTCATAAATAAAACTTCAATTATTTTAAATTTAAAATAAAAAAAAAGGTTTTAGTTTGAAAGAGCACAGTTAAAATATTCTTTTTGAACTGTGTAAGATGATGATGGGCCCTGAAATAGTCACTTAAGAGCTTTTGCTGGGTAAATATGAAATTCTTACACTCGAAGGGAATGTAGGTGACTAAGGAGGCTTTAAGTGATACCTTTGATTATTTCTGTTCTGCCTATCCTCAAATTTTACCACTTTTCCTTTTATATATTTCTCTGAGAGAGCTTATCATGCAGTGTTTAATGTCACCCTTCAAATGGTTCTCTGTATACTTTTTTTTAAACAAAGATTTATTTATGCATAAATAACAACTGGGGTACAGACCAGAGGTGCAGGGGCAGTGAGAGGATTCACCAGAGTGGGGAACAGAACAGGCTGATTGATGAAGTACACTGCTGAAGGGAGCAGCAGCGGGTCAGGAGAGGTGTGACATGCCAGGTGGGTCACCTCTCTGGCCTCACCAGAGTGTGGGGAAGTTGATACTCAATTTATCATACAACCTTGAGACCTTTAGTTGTTCATGAAATCTTGCTTCTTACAAATTGCTTAGCTAGCTGATGAGGACTGGTTGTAACAGTTGTGCTTGCCTCAAGAATTAAAAAAAAAAAAAAAAAGGCAGTGTGACAAGATATTGATGGCCTCTGGAGTGAAAAGGAAAATCTTGGGGGCCAAAAGGCTTGAAGGAACTTTAGTATTAGTTTACTAGTGAATACATGGCATGTCAAGGATGTTAGAAAGTTGCTTTTACACCTATAAGGAAAGTTCCAGTGTTAGAGTGAAAGCACGGAATCAATTTTGAATCTGCTATTCTTAGTGCTGTGTTGTTACAGGAAATGTCCTGAAGAGCCATACTTCTGGCAATATAGTGTTGAGTGGGTTAAAAATACAGCATCTATACTCACACTTACGGGTTTGGGTCCCAGCTATGTTAGCTCTAGTTGCTCAGCTACTAGCTCTGAGAACTTTTGGGAAGTTTCTTAATCTCATGATGCCTGTATTTTTTATCCATTGCAATGAGGCATAGGTATTTTTATCAAAGTTAATGGGAGGATTATACTAACAAAATGCATAGTTCAGTAGCTGACTCTAATTGTTAAAATCATTTCTTATTTTACAAGTGACAGATAAAAGCTTGATAATGTTTTCTTAAAAAAGTAGGCCATGAAAAGGAATAAAAATTAAGAAATTTTAGAATTTGGAAGGAATGAGCATGTGGGAAGCCAACTATTGGTACCAGTGAGTAGAAATACCATGTATGTGTAACTGATAGAGCTGTGAAGTCATATTTTGGGATTGGGAAACCCATACATGTGCACCTTCCTAAATATGTACCCTTCACTTCAGTCAAGCTATAATATGGTTTTATTGAAAGAAATTTCCTGAAACTAGCTGAATAGCTGAAGAGAAGGCTGAGGGCATTACTTTATGAATAGATGTTAGTAAGAAAAGACAAATCTGGGAATCTTCAAACTTCTTGAATAGCAGTTAAATTCTCTCTCTTAAAATACAGATTTCTAGTTATGGCATGAGTGTCTATAGGCTTTTCAGTCAAGATAGCATTATTTCAAGTTTAGGTTTATTTATATTGTTTTACTAGTTATTAATTAACTCTTAGAACTTTACTATGGTTAAATGTGATAAGTTAAACAGAAAATCACAAAATTCAGGTATTTGGGAGTGCACAGATATATATAAGCCATTTTATTGCTCCAAGGTATTTTACCCACATAAACTAATGCTCTCAGAGTATTTTCATAGTAATAGAATTATGCTATTTAGACCTACCTCTAAATCTTCTTCTTCATCAATCTTTTGTATATTTTGGAAGGCAGCTGTGTAGACCTCCAAAGCTTTGCCATGAAATAACATTTCGATGGTGATAAATTCTGAAAATATATTCTGAAAAAGAAAACAATGACTGTAAACAATCATATAATTTGCTGTGTGAAGTTAGTAATTACCCCTTACTCTAATTTTGGCATTTTATGAAATACAGAAGTATCTGTTTTAACACAGGGCAAATAAAGTACAATATAGAATAAAAATAGTTACAAAGAAAATTTGCAGCATGTCACCATTCACTTTCCTTCTCCCTTTTCTAATCAGTTCTATTTATACAAATTGACATTTGTGATAAAAACAAGTTTGACTACAATGCATGCAATTAAGTATCCAGTATCTAGTACCTTATCAGATGATATGCAATTATTTTCTCCCGTTCCCATTTTTTTTCTTACATCTATTCATAAAATAATGCCCTTAGCCTTCTCTTCAGTTATTCAGCTGGTTCCAGGAAATTTATTTCAGTAAAACCATAAACAAGTTGGACTACAATGCATGCCATTAAGTTACTACTTTCCTGTATTAAGTTAGAGCAGTTCAGTTCTGAAACTGTTATTTGAGTAACTTCAACAGATCTTTGAAAGATAGAATGTTTTAGATAGGGATTCTATCATCTTATTTCTGAGTGTATGTTACTTGTATTCTCTAGCCACAAAGGAATTACATGGTCATAATGATATTCTTACAGGTGATAATGGCACTTATACATAGAACATTCTAGTTTATATGACTTGCCAGCATTACATGCTAGGATGTTGACACTTGGATCTGGATATACCCAATAGAAATGCAAATTTGTTTATTATAAAACTTACAAATATTTGTACCATTAATCATAGAAGTTAACAGGTACAAATGACCCAAGTGTTAACTGATGAATGGATAAACAAAATGTAATATCCATGTAATGGTATATTATTGATGCATAGCAAAGAATGAAATATTGATACATAATACATATGGGGAAACTTTGGAACATTAGCTAACTGAAAGAAGCTAGTTACAAAAATCATTATTTTATGATTCTATTCATATGAAATGTCCAGGATAGTCAAAACCACAGAGAGATGAAATTAAATGTTTTGACCTAGGGTATGAAGATGCAGTGAAGTAAAAGCTAAAGTATACTAGGTCTCACTTTGAGATGATAAGAATGTTCTAAAATTGAGTGGTAGTAGATAGCTGAACAAACTAAAAACCGTAGAGTTGTACATTCTAAATGGAATTTTAGGTGGTGCAATGGGTTAGGATGCAGCACTGCAAGCTAGCTACAGCAGCTTCAGTGCAAGTCCAATCCCTGGTCCTGGAGGTGACCCATATGGCATGGCAGACCTCTACTGACTGCCTGTGGCATCCCTCAGCAATGTACTTCATCGATCTGCCTGTTTTGCTCCCCACTCTGTCTCTGCTGATTCCTCTCACTGCCCCTGCACCTCTGTCTTGTATGAATAAATGTCTTTAAAAAAATGGAATTTTTGTAGTATATGGTTCCTTCTATTTTTATAAAAGGAGTTTCTTGTCTTTTTTTTCTTTTTGGTGACCACTGGGAGTCTTCCCTTTCCAGGACAAATACAGAGTAAAGCTTGGAAGCTCTCTCCTCTGTGTACCCTGCACAGGCAGTCCTCATTCCATGTGCTATTATTTCAGGGAATTAAAGCCAGCAGGAACTGTTGTTGGAATTATGTACTCACTTTCTTTGTCCAGTTTTATTAATTGTTGGTGTTCAGGAAATTAACAACACACGAAAAGTCAGCATGTAGGTGAACACTAGTGAGTAGGTACACAGTGCCATGTATAAAAAAAGCTGTAGGCATGAGAAATAGTGGTGGAGTGAGGCATCAGCCTCCTATCACTAAAGCCCTTCAGTGGCAATGGAATCAGGCATATACACCTCATGTCTCCATTTTCATGTTTCAGGTTAAAGCTATTTATTTTAATAACTTTCCTTCCTCTCTCCCTCAATTTAGAGAGGATGTCAGCGACTGCCTATACTCCAACACTTGGGGAATGTGTTTATTTCAGAGAAGCTCCCCTGAGTGGCAATCTACTATTACACAGCAGAGTGCAGAATGAATTAAGAGGCTTCTAATTTTTAAAAAGATTTATTTTTGTTTATGCATACAAGAGTTGGGATGTAGGCCAGAGGTGCAGGGGATGAGAGGATTCATCAGAAACAGTGTGGGGAGAAGACTAGGGGGGATCCACTGAGATACACTGCTGAGGGGAGCAGGAGGTGAGACAGGAGAGGTCTGCTGCGCCATGTGGGGTAGCTCCTTGGCCAGTGGCTGACAACAGCTTGGTAGTACTGTGTCTTTAACCCCTTTGCCACCATGAGGCCCCTGAATTAAGAGGCTTTTAAATTTTTTTTTATCTTCAGGATTACACCAGAAATCTTTGAGCTTGGTTATAAAAAAATGAAAGGTTTGAAATCTTTTTAATATATGATAGGGAGTTTTAAAAAAAAGTACAAATGAATGGATTTTTGTTTAATGGATTGTAGAAAAAAATGATATAAGTAACAAATGCAGCTTATTTTATTGATAATAAAACTTCTGAACGCAGGACTTTTTTTTGGTTAATAGTTATAAAATCACAAAAATACTTTTCTTTAAAGCTTAACCCAGGAAAATTTGCAGTGAACCAAAAGCATCTTTAGATGAGCTGTTTTCAACATCATAAGATGGTCATAAACAATTTTTAAAATCTTTCCAAGATGCCTATGAAAAAGTCACTAAAGACTTTCTGAGGTCCACAAGTCTACTGAAATGTTACAAAAAAAATAAAGGTGATGCTTACTGTGATACCAAATCACAGTGGATGCAAGTTTATATGTTTGACTACCATTATCCTACTTATTGATATTATGCAATTATTAGAAAGCTATGCTAAAAAGTTAATGATAGTATATTGCGATGGAAAGCACAGAACTTTAAAATACAGTATTGTTTTACAGCTCAGCTTTCGGCTAGTAACTGGGTAAGTTACTTTGTATTTTTGCATAATTTTTATTTAAAAATGTAGATAACATTACTTCATTCTTATGAAGTTGCTATAAAGTTTAACAGGTAATTTATGTTGGGGCTCTCCCTGGTGGCACAACAGGTTAG